GGGCTCGGCGCGGGAACTTTCCCCCGGCTCAGGCTCCACTGCGTCCCAGTCGTCGCCCCCCCAGGCCCGCTAAAGGCCGGGGTGCCCTCCGGTGAGGCGCCGGGGCCGGTGGTGGGACGGTTTACCCCGGGACAACTTGGTTACTGGAGGGCCCAATCCCCCGATGCATGGGTTGTGGCCACTTTGTCCGTGGGGTATCGTCTCCAGTTCCGCCGCCGGCCTCCTGTTCCCGGCCGGGTCCTTGTGACTGTCATCCAGGACCCGGTCAGGGCGCAGGCACTTGTCCGGGAGAGATTCGTACTCTACTGGACAAGGATGCCATCGTGCCTGTCGACCCCCTGCTGGATCCAGGGGGCTTTTATTCCCGTTATTTTCTGGTACCGAAGAAGACCGGCGACTTGCGACCGGTCTTGGACCTGTTGCGTGTCCGGCAGGTCCTCCAGGCGGTGTCCCCTGGGGACTGGTTCACGTCAATAGACCTGAAGGACGCCTACTTTCACGTCCCGATTGCTCCTCAGCATTGCCGGTTCCTTCGTTTTGCCTTTCAGGGGAGGCACTTCCAGTTCAGGGTGCTTCCCTTCGGCCTCTCGCTCTCTCCTCGGGTCTTTACGAGATGCGTGGCGGCGGCTCTTTCCCCGTTTCAGGCCAGGGGGTTGAGGATCCTGCCCTATCTGGACGATTGGCTGATCTGTGCCCCCACTCGCGAGCAGTCTCTGCGGGATACGCAGGCTGTGATAGAGCACGTGACCAGGTTGGGTCTGCGAGTGAACCTGGCAAAGAGCAATGTGGTGCCGTCTCAGCAGGCTTTGTTCCTGGGCATGGCTCTGGATTCCCTGTCTATGTCCGCCCGCCCCTCGCCTCGACGTGTCGGGGACATTCGGGCGTTGCTCCCGGGCTTCCGTCGAGGACGGTCGCTCCCTTACCTGGCGTTCCTCAGGCTCCTGGGCATGCTGATTGCAGCCTCGTCTGTGGTCCCCCTGGGTCTTTTGTCCTTGCGCCCGCTGCAGATGTGGCTCAATGGCCTGGGGCTGGACCCGGCCAATCCTGTTCACAGACGTCGGCGGTTACTGGTGTCTCCTCGGTGTATGGAGTCACTGTCCCGGTGGCGCGACGAGGCGTTTGTGCTGACGGGCGTCGCGCTGGGTCCCCTGCCGTCCCGCCGGGAGGTGGTACATACGGACGCGTCCCTGACAGGGTGGGGCGCAACGTGGCAGGGGCGTGCGGTTCAGGGCGTCTGGCCGGTGCGGCAGAGGGGGCTCCATATCAACGTCCTGGAGCTCCTGGCCGTTCAGCTTGCGCTGCGCCATTTCCTGCCGGTCCTGCGGGGGCGGCATGTGTTGGTGCGGTTGGACAACACCAGTGTGGTCTATTACATCAACCACCAGGGGGGAACTCGGTCGGAGTGCTTGCTGGCAGTGGCACGAGGGCTGTTGACTTGGGCCTATCCCCGTCTTGCGGGTTTGACCGCGATGCACATCCCAGGGACTCTGAATGTGTCGGCGGATTTCCTGTCGCGCCACGTTTCGCTGCCGGGCGAGTGGCGGCTACACCCGGAGGTAGTGGTCTCCATTTGGGGGTTGTTCGGCCGGGCGAGGGTGGATCTCTTTGCCTCTCAGGGAACGACTCATTGCCCGCTGTGGTTCTCCCTGTTGGAGTTCACCGGTCCCCTGGGTCAAGACGCGCTGGCTCATGACTGGCCCAGGGTTCTGCTGTACGCGTTCCCGCCGTTCCCTCTGATCCATCAGACGCTGCTCCGGGTCCTTCAGGAGGGCCACAGGATGATACTGGTGGCCCCGTATTGGCCGGGGAGGACATGGTTTCCCTTGCTGCTCAGGCTCTGCTGCGGCTTGGCGAGGCCCCTTCCCTCCAGGCGGGATCTCCTGTCTCAACTGGGGGGCCGGCTTCTCCATCCGGACCCCGGCCGCCTGCGGCTTTGGGTGTGGCACCTCCGGGGACCGGTTTAGCGTTTACAGCCTATATTGGGGAGATTGGACGCACCATGTGCAATGCCCGGGCTCTGTCCACACGCCGGCTGTATTCCTGTAAGTGGAACGTGTTCGACGGGTGGTGTCGTGGCAGAGGACTCGACCCGCGTCTCTGCTCGGTGACGTCAATACTGACCTTCCTTCAAGAACTGCTCAGTAAAGGCCGTTCTCCATCCACCCTGAAGGTATACGTTGCTGCGATTTCGTGTGGGCACGCTGGGTTTGGTGGGACTAGTGTCGGTCGTGTTACTGACGTTTCACTGTTTTTGAAAGGTGCCCGCCGGTTGCACCCGCCCTGTCGTCCTGTGGTGCCGGCTTGGGACCTCTCGGTTGTCCTTGATGCCCTGCGTTCCCCGCCATTTGAGCCTTTGGGGGAGATTGCCCTCAAGTGGCTGTCTATGAAGACAGCGTTTCTCCTGGCTATGGCCTCCGGACGGCGGGTGAGTGAACTCCATGCTCTGTCGGTGACCGGGGCCTGTTGTCATTGGCATCCTGACGGCTCGGGTGTGTCTCTGTGGCCGGATGTGTCCTTTGTCCCGAAGGTGTCTTCTGGTCGGTATGACGGGCCCCTTCAATTGGCCCGTTTTGGTTCTGGTGAGCCCCCTGACCCTCTGTGCCCTGTTCGTGCACTGGAGGTGTACATTCGCTCCACGGCCTCGATAAGGCGTTCAGACGCCCTGTTTGTCTGCTGCGCCGGCCCTCGCGTTGGTCGGGCTCTGTCCAAGCAGCGTCTCTCCCACTGGGTCGTGGGGGTTGTGACAGAGGCCTATGCCTTGCGGGGGCTGCCGTTACCGCCTGGGGTGAGGTGCCATTCTACGAGGGGCATGTCAACTTCGTGGGCTGCTGTGAGTGGTGTGTCGTTGGACGTCATCTGTGCGGCGGCGTCATGGTCGTCCCCAAGCACCTTCGCCAGGTTTTATCGGGTTAATGTTGCCGCCCCGCACCCCCTGCAGGGGGTTCTGCGGCACCGCTCATCTGTTTCACAGTAAGGTGAGGTTCTGGTTGGTTTCCTCGTGACCTTGCTGATATTCGTCATCCAGTGCTTAAGCACCGCCTCTGGCGGTCAGGAAGGATGAAATAGAACGAGAGTTACGACTGTAACTACGGTTCTATGAATCCTGGATGACCGCCAGAGCGCCCGGTCCCTCGGAATCCTTGTGCAAGAAAGGTTCTAGGGACTGTGCTTCCGGTGTCACGTAGCTTTATAGACTCTCGCGTGAGCTACCGGAGGTCACGGGTGACTTTGTTGTTATTTGACTCTCGATCTGTGCATGCGCGAGGATGATCATCCAGTGCTTAAGCATCATGAGGCGGTCATCCAGGATTCATAGAACCGTAGTTACAGTCGTAACTCTCGTTTTGTTCCGTTCCTGGTTCCCTGTGGTTTTGGATTTTTGAGTATGTTTTCATCTACCCTTTTGTTTTTTTCATCATTAAATTATTTTTATTTTGGCATTTCCTGCATTTTGAGTCCTTCATTCGCCTCCCCCCATGAAAATTAGCTTCTAAATTGAGACTCAGATCGTTTTTGTCTGTGTTTTGACTGAATCTGCGGAGTTCTTGTGTGTCCAATAGTGTTTGTTTGTTTTTATTTTTGTTTGTTTTTTGTTTATTTATTTACTTTTTTTTTTTTTTTTGGGGCGACAGTAGCTCAGTTGGTAGAGCATTGGCCTTTGGGCCTGAAGGTTGTGGGTTCAAGCCCACCATAAGACCTACTTCACGACTCCCACTGATGACTGCTGTCGTTGTGTCCTTGGGCAAGACACTTAACCCCACTTTGCCTGAAGCCCCCACTGAAAGATCTCAGCTCCTGTGGACTCACCACCTGCAGGAGGATGAGTGAGGGGCTGGTGCAGCTCTGACTGCCACCCCCCCCCCCCCCGACCCAGAAATGGATTAAGGGGAAGAAAATGGATGGATGGATGGATATTTACTTTTTTGTTTTTTCCTCAGGATAGAGGATAAAATCCACTGATATTGATTGATAAGATTTATTTTTTAGAATTTTTTTTTTTTTCTTTTTCCACTTTATTGATTGATCAAATTGAGTGATCACATGTGATTATGTGATCAAAGGGGAGGGTGTTAGTATTAGATAGCAATATGGCCTATGTGCAGGACTCTACAAGGACTCTACAAGGACTCCATGTTATGACTATGATGTGACTGTCTCTTTGTGACACGTATGTCTTTCGATGTGTGACGTGACAATGACTATATAAACTGTGTACTGCCTTTATTCTGTCTGAGAGAAGGAAACAATGGAAACCACTGGAACTTGAGAGAAACTTAAATAAACTTCCAGAGTTTGGCACACCACGATCCGTCTCTGTCTGCTTCATCCCTGACAAAAGGATATATGTACAGTATGTACAGTACAGACCAAAAGTTTGGATTTTTATTTTTTTTCATGACTATGAACATTGTAGATTCACACTGAAGGCATCAAAACTGAATTAACTCATCTGGAATTATGGTTCAAAGAAGCACCATATATATATATATATATATATATATATATACACACACAAACGGCTGTTTTAATGCCATAAAACAGCCGGTGTTATCATCACTCT